AGTGGTAGCAGCAGAGGTGTGATGGGGGTGTTGCCTTCCCCTGATCGCCGGGTCGCCTCCTGCCCCTGAGGGCTCCTGGTCTGTGAGAGGGGGTAGGCCGGGCTGAGGGACCGCCCTCTAGGGCATGAATTTTCATGCACTAGGCCTCTAGGTAAAACAGAATTAAGGCCTATTTATCAGTTATACGATGTGGCCACTGGCGAATGAAGACCAGATACTCATGTGGGTTGTTGACTCCTGGAAGGAAAAGGGAGGGAATGAGGAGGAAAGAACATCTAGAGGGCAGCTTGCAACTCCTAAACGCTGAGTCTGGTGACCATTTTGTTCGACGGCTGAAAACAGAGACACGGCGGGGCCGACTGTGGCAGCAACCAAAGTGTCCGGGTGACCGCCGGGTGGTGTTGTGTGGAGGAGGCGCTCCTGGCCTTGTGGGTGTGCTGTGTTCCTGCCCCTTGGCTCCATCGGGCCGGCAACCTTTCCCACAGAGGATCCGATAGCAGAGTTTAGGCTCAGAGGCCATGGGCCACAGGGCAACTACTGATGGCATTGAAAGGCAGAATGTGTCTCAGCGTGGGCCTAGTTAGGCTCAGAGGCCATGGGCCACAGGGCAACTACTGACGGCATCGAAAGGCAGAAGCCAGTGATGTGTCTCAGCGTGGGCCAACCTGCCAGGACTCCCTTATTTGTGCACTTTGAAATTTGAATTTTGTATAGCTCAGGAACTACTCTATTTCTTTATTTTTATTTTTAATCCTCACCTGAGTGAGAGAGAAACATTGGTGTGAGAGAGCCTATCAATTGGTTGCCTCCCACATGTGCCCCCTGCCCTGGACCAGTGTCAGGGATCGAACCTGCAACCCAGGTACATGCCCTTGACTGGGAATCGAACCCACGACACTTTGGTTCATGGGCTGGTGCTATAACCACTGAGCACCCGGCCAGGGCTACTATAGTTCTTGTTATTTTTTCAACCATGAGAAAGCGAGGAGTCCCCACTTCGCTCGGGCATGGGGCAGGTGTGGGCTGGACTCGGGCCCAGGTGCAGGCAAGCACAGCCCAGTCTTCCTCTCTCGGGAGTGATTATGGAGCAGGAACTAGAGGGGCCTGCGACACCATCTCTTGCCTCGGGAGTTGAAACTGCATTTTTACAGCATTTCAGAGAGGGGCACTTGCTATGTGCAGCAGCGTGCCCGCTGCCGAGGGCACAGGTGAGCCGGCACCATCCTCCCAGAGCTCAGAGCCTGGGGAGAAACAGCCCGTGTTGGTAACTCAGCCCAGGTGTCGGGAACCAGGAAGGGCTGTGAGAGCCGCTTTGTGAAATGCCTGCCATGTCCAAGCCACCGCTGAGGTGAGTGTGGTGAGGGGCAGGCACGTGGCTTAGGAAAGTGTGAGGGCCCTGGCCGGCTGGTTCTCCATGCGTTGCACACGAGGGTCACCGGGCAGCTCGGAACTGAAGTGCTGTGGGGCCGCTGCCATGCGTCATAAGCCGCCTGGCACTGTCAGCCGAGGTTGAGGAGCCAAGACCTGGG